GTATCAGGCTCAGTGTTAAAACGCATGATCGCACCGACAAACCCAGTGTTTTCCAGCCTAGAGTTTTCAAATTTGGTTGTGCTGTGTCTGTTACACTCTTTAAAAAGTTGTATTTTCTCAACAGTGTTTACATGGATAACTCGCTCTGTTCAGCAACAGAAGCTTGGAAATGTGTCTGATGTATATGTACTGCAAAATACGATGGAAAGCATGAAAGCCTGCTTTATGGCGCAATGATTAAAGAAAGAGCGAACGGCTTTCCTCATTCTTAGATACTGAGATTTCCATCCACAACAATTTCGGCGTTGATGCAAGGAAACGAATGGAAAGCAAGAAGAATTCATCCCACACATATTGCACATAAGAAACCGCCATTAGAGCTCGACGAACTTTACAGTCTGAGGAGTTTTCAGTACTGTCGTGAACTGCAGAAATTGGACGGGAAATCGTGGCTCACAATTTGTTCATGCTATGATTAGCAGACCCTCCTGAAGCAGCGACAAGATCTCAGACGTGGACAAATCCATAGGATGGGAATTCAGATTCCCTACGTCGGGAGTTTTTCAAGGACCGTTTAGGTTAAATTCGTTCAAATATCTGTCTCAACTCTGTGTAGATTACTATTTTACAAGGGTCAAACTCTTTTTTGGTTTGCTTGATCTCTCGCCATTAGTTTTTCAAGCTGAGGCTATTTTTCAACACTGTTTGGCCAAAAGGAGACAAAGTAAACCTAAAACTCCTCCAGAATTAATAATCTGTTGCTGTTCAACTAAATTATTTGCATATGCCTGTAAAAAAAGTTTTTATAATTTGCTTCCCTTGTTTCATGTTGTCAATTTGCGCCAGTTTTTTTGCGAACAGCTCTGTCTGTTTCATCCTTTTCTGATATGCAAGGTAAAGTCGAATCTCAAGCCGGAGATTTTTTCGCCTGTTATAAGTAACCCAAATGTACAACCAGATCATGTGACGCAACGTAGATTGCCGTAGAAGGCTAGACAGAAAAATCCTCCCACCCTCCCCCCCGCCCCCCTTACACAGAAAACCCTTAATCTGGAAACTATTCACGTGTCGCAGTTGTATGGACGTTGCCGTACACGTGCATAACACGTGTGTGGCGCACTATTAACAATGTGTTTGATATGTAAATTTGTGCGCCACCTTAAGTGCTATAAATGCAGGATCAGTAACTTCTCGCCAGTTGTACTTGTGAAAGTTTTTGTGGTGGCGTTGCACTAAATTTGAATGGAAAGGTGCGGAATAGTAACTCAGCTGGGCACTTGCCTGTTTATGTGGACCACATGGAATTGCGGCACCGCACTCGGAACTCTCGCGAACGAAAGATGGAAGCTGTACAGTTTGCAGGTTCTCGGGGCTTTCAAGCGGAGAGAAAAGAGAAGCTGGACCTTCAGTACAATAACTGGCCTTCTCCTTCTCTGCCCGACGGGCCGCTGTTGATGCTTTTGTGCTCTTTTTCAGTTGCAGGGAGTGGTGTCCCGAGGAGTACAAGGAGGATCGCTGTTGGTTGCAAGGGATTTTGGTTAGTAGTTTTCACGAAGAGCACTGGAAGCAAGCCAGAAGCCCGGTGAAACAAGTTCGGCCAGATGAAGGCATTGAAGAGAAGTCAGTTGAGGTGATGGCGGGAGTCTTCGCATTTAATAACATGTGAAGTGTGGGACATGCAATGAAAAAATGTGTCAGAAACGACAAAGTTCAATCCGGGCCGAGAATTGAAGAATTTTAGGATGGTAACATCAACAGGAACCGGTCTTCTTACTGTTGTGCCATACAGAAACTCCGCAACCAAAACTGAAGCGAGAATGAACTGCAATACGAAACAGTTCAAGCGTAACACTAAATCTGCCGATGATGCACTGTATGGTCCACTAATTCGGCCAATTTTACCTTAGCATACCTTCGAGCTAATCCAGAGCGTGCATGTAGCTTTCCGCAGAGCTAATATCAATATTCCAAGTGGTATAAAGGTATCAAGCGACAGCAATCCGGGAACACCCGCAATTGCTGCAAAGACTTCCTAGTCCAAAGTTTCGAAGAGTGCCGGGAAGATCACTGTTTCCAAGGAATTACCAGCTAGTTGTTTACGCAAAGAGCACCCCAAGCAAGTTTGATGCTCACTAAAAAAAATTCGGACGGAGAGGTTGTAAAAAGAATGCGTCGGCCAAATCTCGAACGACAAAAACTCGACTCTGGTTGAGAACAGAATGCATCACTCGGG